CTTACAGCGAGGAATCTGGATTTGGTAGAAGTGGTGGAGACATGGCATCGCATTACTCCCATGGAGTTTCTGGGAAGAGACTATCACCAGCTGTGGAGGACATAATCCGAAGAAGGAAATTCCAAGGAGGTTTTGAAGGTAATGTCAACGTTGTGTGATAACACAAAGTGGGCCATGTCAGGTAATGTTAGGTCATACAATGGCGGCAATGAGCAATGTTTTAAAATACTAATCATATGTAGCAGGGTTGTTACCAGGGTTAGAAGTAAACGGCTTTAATGTTGGGGTTAAGGCAGTTGATTTCGCGATCTATTTCTAAGAATTAGATGGATAGGTCAGCAGAGGTCAGTCAGCTGAGAGTTCTTTCTTTGGACTGTATGACTTGAGGAGACAAATAAAATTCAGATTAGCCATAAGGTTGTACAGAAGGATTCAAATGTCATTAAATTTTATTTTTTATAACTGTCGAAGGAGAGAAAACAAACTTAGGTTCGTCATAATTATTTTGAAAGAAATAATATGAGTAATTTTTGAGGATGCTCATTTTTCTTAAGCATTTAAGGCAGCCCAGCTCTACCTGAAAAAGGTCTGTCAAATTTATAAATTAAAGGATACCCCAGCAGTACCATATTTTGTCTAGAGATCTAATGAAAGAAAATGGGGCTATTTGAAATAAGTCTGGAACATTTTTTTCTCCCGAATACGTCCCTTCCCACATCCCCATCACCCTTTTATCATGATTTAATTTTGAGCACATCCTATTTGCTCTAATTTGCAGGACGGTACCCACTGTCCACTTCCTGGAAGAAGTCAAGTTCCCCTTTGTTTTCTTCCAAGTATGACAGCAAATGGCAGCTTTCACACACTTATCCCATGTCATATGTGGAATGGAAAGCTCTATATTGGAGGCCTCCAAGAGATCATTTCACATGGAGAGATCGCCAGTATCAGACAAATCAATATGGTTATGAGTCAGACTTCAAAAGGTGAACAAAAGCATAATACTAAATAGAGATTTAACAATGTTAACCTGGTTCATTCAGTCTGAATAAATTATGCAGTCTTGTGAGATTTAATCGGAACACTTAAACGAACAAAAAGTGAGCGTATAATGTCTATTCTTTGTACTACATAGTTCAAATTAATTAACTGAATGGAAAAGAAACAGTGTTGTGTATTGTATGACATGATTGAGTTTCAAATGATATTTTTTTCTGCAGATCACCATGGCCACCAAGACCTGTCTCTTCAAAGCTGATCTATGGTTCACGTCCACTGTCTCCCCCAGTAACCTTTCCACCTGCTAAGGTTCCCAGGGCAGTTCCAGGGGGGTTTGTGTCCAAGATTGCCTTACCTTCCTATCAAGACAATAGTGACAGTGGTTATTCAGACTGGCAGCGAGGTGGCAGCCAATGGGAAAACACAGTCAGAAGTCAACACAGTTTAATGGGATGTGCTGGAGAGTTCCAATACTATTAATCAGAGACAATACTGATTTTACAAACTCTACACATTGGAGGACTAAACAGCGTTAAATGTTATTGACTGAGTGGCAGGGCCAGACAGTGTTATCGACTTAGTAGGAGGGCAACAACATGTGCACTCATCAAGTACCGTGGACAGGTCTATAAAGAGAGTCGTACAGGGAGGGTCTCTTGCACAGTTCACGAACTGAAAAAATAGTGAATCATAGATCGCAGATATCAAAATTTCATTTTCCCAAATCACGAAAATAAGCAAGTAAATTTGTACTCTTTTTAATGACCTGCTCTTACACTAGAAAAAGTGTTCAAACAAAGTAAAATCATGAAAGGCTAAGGCCAAGGCTCCATATTGCAAATCGCATACCTAAATCACTCTCTCGACAGACAACCATTTGGAGGACTTTGCATCTCAAAATCATGTAGAATAGAGTGGTGAAATCACGAATATCAGTTAATAATTCAAGTTCTTCACTGGTCATGCAAAGCCTTTGGGTCACAGATCAGTAAGAAAAATTTCTTAAATTCACGTTGCACGGAAAATAAAATCAGGTAATCACATATCACGAGAATATCCCTGTATGACCCTCTATAACCTGTACACTTGCACAAGAACCAGTACTTACTACCTCATTGAGTAAGAAGGCTAGTAAGTACTTACTGAACAAATAGGTGCAAAGCAGTATTTTCATGGTGACCATTATTAAGACAATGGGCATCATGGCACTTTTCAACCGAGTACAGCGTTAACCCAGGTTGATGCATATTTATTGTCCGAGTAGGAGAGTTTAATAGGAAAATATCAATCTTNTTTCATTTTCCCAAATCACGAAAATAAGCAAGTAAATTTGTACTCTTTTTAATGACCTGCTCTTACACTAGAAAAAGTGTTCAAACAAAGTAAAATCAGGAAAGGCTAAGGCCAAGGCTCCATATTGCAAATCGCATACCTAAATCACTCTCTCAACAGACAACCATTTGGAGGACTTTGCGTCTCAAAATCACGTAGAATAGAGTGGTGAAATCACGAATATCAGTTAGTAATTCAAGTTCTTCACTGGTCATGCAAAGTCTTTGGGTCACAGATCAGTAAGAAAAAGTTCTTAAATTCATGTTTCACGGAAAATAAAATCAGGTAATCACATATCACGAGAATACCCCTGTATGACCTTCTATAACCTGTACACTTGCACAAGAACCAGTACTTACTACCTCACTGAGTAAGAAGGCTAGTAAGTACTTATTGAACAAATAGGTGCAAAGCAGTATTTTCATGGTGACCATTATTAAGACAATGGGCTTCATGGCACTTTTCAACCGAGTACAGCGTTAACCCAGGTTGATGCATATTTATTGTCCGAGTAGGAGAGTTTAATAGGAAAATATCAATCTTAACTCCTCAGGCCATGCCCATTTCTCCTTTTGTAAGGGAAGGATTTAAATGCTTTAAAGAGATTGAAGGAAGTGAATAGAAATAGGAGTGCTTCACGGTGACACATAGTTATCATTATTATTGATTCTCAGTAATAATTATTGCAAATCAATAATAATTTACCCTGATTACAAATAACCAAATAACTTTGAATTCATTTACTGCAGATACTTAACTTTTGATCATCAGATACCTTACAACACTTTCTTGTCAGCACAAATTTTGTCAAAACGAAATTTCCCTAACTATTTGTTAGCATATTGAAAACTCTACACACCAGTTTCAGTTCCCTCGATCTGTAATCCTGGCAGTAAATAAAACTGTTATGGACTATTTACCAGGAGGTAAAGTCCGCCAGTTTTACTGTCTCCACCTCAGATTTGCGCAGTGTTTGTCATCATCAACTGGTGCAGAGCACATGCCCAAAGACTTGCAACTGAGTAAATACTGTGTTTATGTATATCCACAAAGAATAAGTTTACGTTCATAATTAAGTTATCCTAACCAAAAAGAATGGTAAACGAAATTGCCTACTAGGGAAACAAACACGATTTTTGGAGCTACAAACTACCAACTAGAAACAAGCATTAAAATTAATAAAGGTTAACAAACCANAAAACTCTACACACCAGTTTCAGTTCCCTCGATCTGTAATCCTGGCAGTAAATAAAACTGTTATGGACTATTTACCAGGAGGTAAAGTCCGCCAGTTTTACTGTCTCTGCCTCAGATTTGCGCAGTGTTTGTCATCATCAACTGGCGCAGAGCACATGCTCAAAGACTTGCAACTGAGTAAATACTATGTTTATGTATATCCACAAAGAATAAGTTTACGTTAATAATTAAGTTATCCTAACCAAAAAGAATGGTAAACGAAATTGCCCACTAGGGAAACAAACAAGATTTATGGAGTCACAAACTACCAACTAGAAACAAGCATTAAAATTAATAAAGGTTAACAAACCACAAAACATTCTACACAGAAAAGACAGCATACAACACAGATGGAACAAAAGACCACCACACAAGACCACGAGATACGAGAAAGCAACATCGACGGCAGGCATCCAGAATCTTTTGTCATCATTTCAAACAATAGCGTTTGATCGGATAAGGAAAACGTTGACGAAATCATCTGCCCACGAAGAAACACGAGTACAAACTACTACGAAGAACACGTTACAAACGGATAACATATCAGAATGTAGTTCTAACTCTTCACCGACCACCAGGTAAGGTCTCAGACTTAAACTAAATGAGTAAAAAGAAGTTACAATGAACCCAATTCATCATGGCTGAATAGCTAGACGCTAATTTTTACCAGGCGTTGCTATATAGCGGGGGCCTGGATACCAATGGATAACCGCTGACTGTCGACCACGGACTCTTTCAGTTTGCGGGATCCGGGTCGTCTCCCTAATTAATGTTCGACACATTTTTTCAAATGCTTGTGTTTGCGTTTTACTTCATCATTTTTTCTTCCTCTTTACCGCAAGGATCAGTCTGCCGCATATGGTGACCAACAGTTGATAATCAGAACAATCATACACTACAAGAACTTTCAAGCTTGGGCCAGAGGGTAATGGGCTCCTGCTTGGGCGCGATTTTCTGGCCTTGAGTGAGGGGTCCTATGTGGTATCCGTCTCCTTGTTTTGGTTTTATTTCTATTTTACATTCAATTAAAATTCTGGAAAATTCTGTTCAGACGATCGAGTGGAACTAAGCTCTATGACACTGAGCGGAGCAAAGAAAAAAAAAACTATACGCACTAAGTGTATCACACCACATCAGATATATATGTCATCTACTGTCATTTTCGATACTTAATTAAGGGCCTGTTCAAATAAATGACAATCTTCACTTTCGATATGATCGGCATGACAAATGGCTCCAGACAATTTTAGACCATTTTGTCAGACACCCAAACAAAAAAGCACAGCTTAAAAAGTGTCAAAATAGGCAAATAGGCAGCTAGGAAAATTATACAATACGGTAACTTGGATGAAAAAAAAAAACTATATTACGTCGACTGCTGCGCAAATTCAAGGTGACACCAGACGAGTATACGTAAGACACCGCAAAACAATAACTAAATAAATTCATCGTGCAAGAATGCTTCACAGATGTAATACTTTCTAGCATTACATTTTCGATATTTTTGCGTTTCAATATGAAAAAGATTGAGAAGGTAATTTTTCGAAGATTTTTTATTGAACTGATTGGTCTAGAAAAATCAGTTGTAATTCATACTGTTTCCAATGAAATTATTTCAGAAATAGTTGTTTTTAAATGTAATCACAAATTTGGCTGTATATGGTGAAACAGGCAACCGAAAGATATACTGACCAGGGGAATTGAAATAAAACAACAGAAAATTGCTGAATTTTGCTTCACTATAATTATTTTTGCGGTTCAAAACATGGACAAATACTATTGATTGAATTCGTTTTCATCGACACAGCCAAGTTATCGCTTTTGGGAATACGTAATCTATTGTAATCAAACGATTCTTTGCGTTTTCATTGTTTACTTTGATGATTCTTTTCATTTTCTTAGTCTTCGATCAGAATTCATTATATTTAGAACACAATGATCCATGTTACAATAAACCAAACACTCAGTTTTGCTGCGCCCCAAGTCACTTATCACATTTGTCTCAAATGCAATTAAGCCAGTTTCTTTATAAGACTTGTGTTTGTCGTCTCTTGTGTTTTATTCACAACTTTCTCATTATTGGGAAAACCCATAAACAGCTGGTATTTAAACCCATAAATGGAGCCAAACGTGGCCGTACTGAGCATGCTCAGTGATGCTGGGTTTAACTGTTCCGGTGAGAGACAGCGACCGTGAGAAATATGGCGGGTAGAAGATTCTGACATGAAACGGAGACCTGAGTGTTTGCCAGTTCTTTCGCGAAGCAATAACTGGCGAGAATGGAATATGAAAAGATGGAGGACGACAGGTAAGAGACCTGAATCTCCCCTAGTCGCAAATATACCACGAACGCTGTTGAGTTCAACAAGAATTATCTTGAAAACTCACGAATCTACTCCTATTAACACCGAACGAAAATTGCAACCACATCCTAGGATAATTTTTGTAAGGCTGCCGGCTGGTACCCGAGTTGCGAAAGGCCTCCCAGATTGCACCGAGTAACGAAACATAGTCGATCATCGTCAGTCTTGAGGATCGACTTAATTATATTTTTAGTATTTTTCCCGGTTAAAACGAGCGAAATGCTCATGTTTACCATTACATCTCTGATCACCTGTTTATATATCATCGTTGTTTGGATTCGAATGGTGACGTCACATGTAGTTACATTTCCAAGCAAAGCTGCAGTGTAGCTCTGTGATCGCGACTTGCGAAGTAACCTTATCACCGTACCGGCGCGCCGATTTTCTGCACAAAGACACAAATTGCCCTGACAGAATAATATGCAAATATAATCATTGGCAAGAAAAAATACATCAAATATTGCAACTTTGATCTGTTTTTTGCATGCGCTCGGTTTTTATGGAAAGAAATCTCGCACTTTCAAACTGTATGATGTTTTTTTCAGTAATACGCGCTGCGCAGGAAGAATTTTGAGACACCTTTTTTGTTTACTGCCATTGCTTCCGTAGATTAATAATGCGAGGAGCTCGATTTGTTATTGTGCGTTAGAATATTTAATTTCTGAGGTCTCGGCGGATGCGAAAACAATAAATCTGTTCGGCGAGACTGAAACCTTGTCTTTGAACGCGAGATATCATAAAGGCACTGTTTTGATGTCTCTTCAATCATTTCAGGTCACGGTATAAGTAGCATTAATCCGTAGCGAAGAGAGAATACGATTACGCTTCTAAGTGAATTAG